CATGGAGAATGGCTGATTCTAGGACTGGGGTAGAAATATTCAAGATGAGTCTGGCACATTTGGTAATGCCAGAAAGTAAGGAAGTACTCAAAAAGTAGGAAAAGCAAAGAAAATCCCACAATGGTGGGGGAATGTCAAAGGGTCACAGGAACCAATGGAAAGAACTCCAAATGGCCAAATCTGGAACAATTTGAGCAACAAAGTAAATATATTATATTGGATTACAACCCAAAGTGTAAAATAAATATCTATAAGTCCATATTAATATAAATAAATGATTGCATAAATAATAACTGAGAGAAGATACACATTTTTTATGGAGAATTCCAAGGAATTTATATAGATACTCTGCACTTTTAGGAAGTGAAACACAACTCCCCACTCCTTAGGTGGGAGCACTGTGATTTCCTTTCAAAGAGCACAATATGGAAAGTGGGGGGGAGAAAAGAGTGTGAGAAATCTGACAAGTGAGGATTTAAACAGGCAACCAAGGTCAACCTCAACAGCCGTAAGTCATGCTGATGATGCGTATCCCTGATAGGTTGTGATAAGAAAGGCACGCTACCTCTGTGATAGTCACCCTCAAATTCATAACCCTAGGTTAAGAATGAGAAAAACATAAGACACACCACAGTGGAGGAAAAGTTTACAAAATACCTGACCAGTGCTTCTCAGAACTGTTAAGGTCATCAAAAACAAGGGACGTCACAGTCAAGAGGAGCGTAAGTCAACAGGAGGACCGAATATAAAGTGGGATACTAGATGGCATTCAGACACAGAAAAAGGACATTAGGTAAAAACTATGGAAATCTGAATGAAGTGTGGACTTCAGTTAATTACAGTTTATTAATATTGGTTCCCTAATTTGACAAATGTTTCAGATATTAATAATTGAAACTGGATGTGGGGTATATGGGGACTCTGTACCATCTGCTCAATTTCTCTGTAAATATAAATCTGTTCTAAAAAATTAAAAGATTATGAGAAAAAGAAAAACAGAGAGTGAGAATGAATATATGAATCCTTCCCCTTTCCTGTGTAGGATGCCAAGCTATTTGGAGGTGAGGAAGTCACCTTCTGACAGCAGAGATGACAATTCATGGCCTAACCAACTCGGGCCCCTCTATTGGGTTTTCGCTATGTAAGAAAAGAATCTTCTATAAGAAAAGAATCTTCGCTTTTCAAGCTGTTTTGGGCTAGGTGTTTTGATCCTTGCAGCTGAATGCATCCCAACTGATAGTCCTCAGATCACTTCCTCAGCTACTGCTGTGGTTTAGATCTTTATCTCCTTACTCAAGATCTTTAGCCTGCTTAAACACCCTTCCTTCCTCATCCCGTTGCTCTCTTCTCTGGGTTTACCCCCTGGCTACATTTCTCCCAATATCCCAAGGCCAGCGATTCCTACCCGTCCCAGGACAGGGCTATTCTCTCACACTTCCAAGCTTGTGTACACTTGAGTCCTTCTGCCTGGAATGCCCATTCTTCCATCCTGATTCCTCCCAGCAAATAACTTCCTGAATTTAAGTTTCAGCTCACCATGTGTGACGGGCAGGATTCTCATATGTCCCTGAAGATCCCACTGGTAAAGATGGCCTTGCATAGCCCTTGGTACTGTGAATATAATGAACTATACTTTTATGATTAGATTATGCGGTATGACATATTGATTTTTTAAAAAAGATTTATTTATTTTAGAGTTTTATTTATTTATTTAGGGCGAGGGGCTGAGGAAGAGAGAGCCCCAGGTAGACTCTACACTCTGCGTGGAGCCTCACACAGGTCTCAGTCTCATGACTGAGCTAAAACCAATGGTTGGATGCCCAGCTGACTGCACCACCCAGGCACCCCAACACAATTGATTTAAGAACGGGTTATCTGGGAGGGGCTGATTTAATCATATGAACTTTTTAAAAATCAGAGAGTTTTCTCTGACTGGTAACAAAAGAGGAAGTCAGGCAGAGATTCAGCATGTGAGGGGGATTTGATTTTCAAGAAATTCTCTGTTGCTGGCTTTGAGAACAAACGGTGGGGTCACATGGCAAGGAATGCGGGAGGCCAGGGTGGGGGGTTGCTCTAGAAGTTGACAGCGGGCCCTGGCTGATTGCCAGCAAAGAAATAGGGACCTCAACTCTACAACCACAAGGAAATGAATTCTGCCAACAACAAGAATGAGAATGGAAGCAGATCTTCCCCAGAACGTCCAGGTAAGAGCCAGCCCAGCTGATGTCCTGATGATACCGAACAGAGAACACAGCCATAATGCCATGCAAACTCTGACCTACGGAGCTATGAACTACTAAATAGGCGTTGTTTTAAGCCTATTTGGCAGTTGGTTATGCAGCAATAGAAAACTCATATACCATGCCTCTCCTCTGAAGTCTTCCCTCACTCCTCAGCGCACCTGTGACTTCTCTCTGCTGCTGGGGCACCTCATACACAGCTCTGCTACGGGGCAAGTCATTATTATAATAATCCACTTAGCAGTCTGCCCTCCTCACAAGATTCCAGAGTTCCTGAGAAATGTTGGAACCTATCACTTCATCATTGCGATCTCTGGTACAGAGCAGGAAAGCAAAAAAAATACTGGTTAAATGAAGTTTCATCAAGAAAAAAAATCCCAAGATCACAATTTGTAATCATATATACTAAAATCGCCAAAGATGCAGGAGATTTAATGTCTTAGCAAGAGAAAAAGTCACCAATGTAAAAAGAGAATGGAGAAAAAAAAGTGTTAATATTCGTGTAGGGCTTTTCTGAGGAACCAGATGTGAATGAAGTCTCCAGGTAAGTTGATGAGGGAAGAAGTAAGCAGAAGTATGAGGAAAAATTCATCTCTACATTACTTAGTAAACAGGTATTTATTGAGTGTCTGCTATGCAGTCAGGCCAGGAACTGTGGAAAACAATACAAGATTTAAATCTTGCCCTCAAAAATACTAAGAACTCCTTTCTGTGGCCTACCAGGCTTAGAATGTTAGAATCAAAACACTTAAAAACCTTGACTTTGGGGTGCCTGGGTGGCTCAGTGGGTTAAGGCCTCTGCCTTCGGCTCGGGTCGTGGTCCCAGGGTCCTGGGATCGAGCCCCACATCAGGCTCTCTGCTCAGCGGGGAGCCTGCTTTCTCCTCTCTCTCTGCCTGCCTCTCTGCTTACTTGTGATCTCCATCTGTCAAATAAATAAAAAAATCTTAAAAAACAACAACAAACCTTGACTTTATGTGTACTTAAGCTTTAAAATCCCCTACTTTCTAAACAAGTGGGAGCAAATTGACTTTCTGTTGAGCTCTGAATTTCTGAGGTCCTTTGGTATTGGCCCTTCTTTGTGTTGGCTGCCTAATTCTCTGCAGAGCAGATGAACCATTATCAGCTCAGGCTGATAGTCATTTAGGTTGTTTTGAGGCTCTTTCTCTTATAAACACCTGTCAAATAACAACTTCGCTCCTGTGCCTTTTACATCTCTGTGAAAGGGTCTGTAATGAGAATTCGAGGAAGGGGACCCAGATATTTTGTTATTACACAACACTCTCTCCCTCAGTTCCTGCCCCACGGATGCCAGCTCCCTTGAGGAGCTAGGACTCCCTAAGTTGGAGCAGTTGCTCACCTCCAGGCCTGGTGGGTGTGGCTCCCATCTCTCACAATTCAGTTGCTGGAATGGAAATGTGGTCTGGAATACGCAGGAAGGGGTGAGATCCATAATGTACCGAGAAACCAAGTAGACGCTGAGCGAGGGAAAAAATGGTACAGGAAGTTGTAAGGGGGGGGGTACTTGAGGAAAGAAGAGGTGGGGCGGAAAAGATGTTTCCTGGGTCAGAGTAGCGTGGGCTAAAAACAGAATACAGGTCACTTCGCGGTGGACCTCCAACGCCAACACGATTAATTTGTGTTTTATCCTGTGGGCGATGGAGAGTGAAGGAAGGAATTAGTGAAAAGAGATTCAGGTTTCAGATTATGCTACTAGCTCAAGGGGTGGGGTGTCAACTCATCTCTGAGCTGTTTCCACATGTGTTAAACTGGGAAAGTAGTACTTGCTGGACCGACCTAGAATGGTGATAGGAACTAAACAGAGAACAGCTGTAAAACTTAGAAGGCCGAACCCGGGTGTGTGTTGGGGGGGGCGTGGTTTACTGTCAGTTGACAAGCTGACAATAATTTCTAAAGTCCTTCAGTAAAAAATTCTGGGGGTGCCTGGGTGGCTCACTGGGTTAAAGCCTCTGCCTTCAGCTCAGGTCATGATCCCAGGCTCCTGGGATGGAGCCCCGCATCGGACTCTCAGCTCAGCAGGGAGCCTGCTTCCTCCTCTCTCTCTGCCTGCCTCTCTGCCTACTTGTGATCTCACTCTCTGTCAAATAAATAAAAACTTAAAAAAAAAAGAAAAAAGAAAAAAATTCTGCAATGAAGTCCGAAAATCAAGAGGCAGATGGCTTGTTGCCTGCAAACAACATGCTACGGACTCAGAGTCGCTCGCAGTCTTTCATTGCTCTGCTGCTCCGCGCCGGGCTCAAAGCCCACGCAGGAGACACTCCCCTGGGTTTGCTTGGAAGTCTCCGGCGCCGAGGAGTCCCGCAGAAGGTGGGGGATATAGAGGCGCGTGCGTGTGCCCGGCGCACGGGGACCCGAGCCGCGGCTGGGATATAGGGGCGGGGCTCGCGCCGGGGCTGACTGGGGCTGGGAATCCCCGCACTGCCCAACTCTGGGGGAAGCAGAGCGTGTGCGGGCGCAGCCGGCCACTGCGCAGGCGCGGGCACGGTCCTCTTGGCCTGCGTGCGGCGTTGCAGGCTGGGCGCGCGCGCCCGTGGCGGGTTCCGCTCCCGGCGGGCGGAGGGCTGCGCGCGCACAGGCGAGCCGACCGTGACGTGCGCCGCGCTACGCCCGACGTCACGGGTCCGTGTGTAGTGGCGGCCCGCTGCCCTCAGCGGCAGCGCCTGACGAAAGTGGTGCGGCCGCTGGGTGCGGTGTTCAGGGGTCGTGCGGCGTGCGGCGGCTACGAGGGCGAGGACGACGACGACGACTGGCAGGCCCGGCACCTCCAACCGCGGAGTCGCCGCTCCTGCCCCTTCTCCGGCCTCTGGCGGCGCCCGGCCCACGGCTTCCTCCTTTCCAGCTCAGCTTCGCGCGGGCCTCGGGGCCGCGGCGGCTAGAAGTACCGAGGGGAGCCGAGAGGCCCTGGTCGGCCGCGACCGTCCACGCGCACTCCACCCCGCCCGGCGCGGGCTCCATGTGAAGGAGGGATCCGGCCTGCGCCAGACTCCTCGCGCGCCCCTCCGGCCCCCGGGGGCCCGCGGCCTCCCCCTACAGGGGGGCGCGGTGACAGGCCGCGCGGGGGCGGAGGGGCGGGCTCGGAGGCAGCGGCTGCCCCTCCTCGGGCCTGCGGCTCCCTACGTCCCCGCGGAACCGCCGGTACGTGCCTGTGTTTGTGTGGGGCGGGGGCCGTGGCGGGCCTGTGCGCAGCTCCCCAGGCAGGGATTTCGCTAGGTGGTTGTCCTCCGGATGGAGAGATTTCGGGGGTCCCTGCATCTTGTCCTGAACCGCAAGTCTGAGCGCAGTAGACTGCTGGGCTGTGTAGCTGTCAGACACGTACTTTGCATGGATTTTAGAAGGAAGATTGCAGCTGCCCTCTGGGAGAAGAAGTGTTATATGCAGTAAGCGAAAAAGTGCTTGTCTTTGCACTGTCACACTGTGATAATCTACTGATTGGGAAGGGGGGGGTGTGATTCTTCAAGCTTTAGGATTTACCGTTCGGCCGGCAGTTGTCTTGCTTTGTCTGACTTCGTCTTCTCAGCACAATGAGGTCGGTACGTGTCTCCCCATTTTACAGATGAAAAATTGAGTCTCGGAGAGATTAGGGAATTTGCCCAAGGTCATGCAGCTGGTAATTCGGGAAGCCTTATTTCCCATATATGTATTTTCTGTAGGACTGTATTTTTGAGTCTTGAAAAAAATTATGTGAGGAAAATGAGAAGAGTTGGAGAGTTTCTTCCTAGGAGTAAATTCTAAACTTAGGTATATGTAGCTTTCTTGTACTTAGGCTGTTCAGTATGTTTTGCTGCAGCTTAGCCAAATGATTTTCTTGGCTTTTTTTTTCTTTTTAAAAATTACTTTTAAAAGGTGGCGCTGGGCACCTTTACCCGTTTGCAGTAAAAAAAAAATTAACAGAACAGAAAAAAGAAATTAACTTTTATCAAAAAAAGAAATGTAATAAAATTAGAAAAGGATGACACAAAAAATAAATATAATTGGTAAAATGCATATTTCCTGAAAAGTTAAATTTTACTTGTGCAGTTTGTTCTTGACAAATACAGGGAACTCGCAGTTAGGTTATTAGCTTGAGATTTCCTTATTGCAAAACTTGTTGCTGACTTGTGTGGCAATGGCTGAACATACTTAGTAATTGGTGCAGTCTTATGCAATATTTCTGAGTTGTCAAAATTAGTGAGTAGAATATCGTAGAAAGTTATCTTGTAATGGTGTGATTTTTTTTCCCTTTCATTGGTGTGTGGTGATTGATAAGTGCTTATAAACCAAAAATTGTCATTTTAGCATTGGCTCGTATTATTTCTTTGATTATCGTTAGGAAAAAGGATATTTCTTTTTATAGAAGAAAATATTAATAGATTCCTTTGAATAGCGGAGGCTTAATGTATAGTTAGAAATGTTTAAGGAATGTATCCAATTACAGTACTCTGATTTTCTCCAGTATATTATCAGGTTTAAGAAAATTTGTAGTTGAATATTTTTGTGTTGTCTCTCTGGTGAAAAGGTCAAATTATAGAGTCGACAAGTGGTTAGTTCATAGATTGATTTGTTTGGTTAAAATGTGAACTATTGGGACGCCTGGGTGGCTCAATTGGTTAAGCGGCTGCCTTCGGCTCAGGTCATGATCCCAGCGTCCTGGGATCGAGTCCCACATCCGGCTCCTTGCTCAGCGGGGAGCCTGCTTCTCCCTCTGCCTCTGCCTACCACTCTGTCTGCCTGTGCTCATGCTCTATCTCTCTCTCTCTAACAAATAAATAAATAAAATCTTTAAAAAAAAATGTGAACTATTTTGAGTCCTGTTGATTTATATTGAGTGTGATACCATTATAGAATGGTTATCTTGGTGTGATACCCATGTGTCTCTTTTGAGAGAAGTAACTGTTAAAGGCTTATTTTTAAAAATTAGATTACATTATGGACTGAGTCTATTAATGGATCTTTCATTTTTAGTTCACCTTGCTGCTACCAAAGCGGTAAACTGTGCTTAATAGATGCTGTGTTAAAATGAAGCCACGTTAGGGTCCTGACAGCTTTGGTTTTGGGTTCATCTTTTTTTCCTTTGTAGAACTGGAGCTCTCTGGGCTCCTTTGTACCCTCCCCCAACTTTTTTTTTTTAATATGAAATAATTTCAAGCATACAGGAAATTGCTAATAGAGTGAATCATGATCCTTTAGGTTCAGTATTGACATCTTGTATTTACTTTATCTGTAAATATGTGTGTATTATTTTTGGTTCAGCCATTTGAAACTAAGCTGTAAACATTATGACACTTTATCCCTAAATATGTCAGCATACATTTGCAAAGGTGGACATTTCCTAACATAGTCAAAATACCATTATTGTTAATTTTTTTTAGTTCATACTTTCCGATCAGTAATTAGTTGATAGTTTCTTAATTGATAATTCCTTAACGTAACCTAACATTCATATTTAAATCTCATATTTAAATCTCTCTATGTATACTGTTTGGTCATTTATGATTTTTTCACACCCAGTCACACCAGACCAAGATACAAGATTTATTCACTGCATTTGGTGGTTAAGTCTCTTTGATCTCTTTGAATCTAGAACAGTTTCACCTCCCCCTTTTAAAATGAAGGTGCTTTTTCTTTTCTTTTTTTTTAAGATCAAGCCAGTGGTCTTATAAAATGAGTTACATTTTCTATTTGTCTGATTCCGCAACACCCTCCCCGCCCCCCCGCCAATAGTGTCATTTAGTGTGTTCTTATGTTCCCCTGTATTAGTTAACTGTAAGCTAGCTTTAAAGGCTTGATTAATTTCAAATTAAATATTTTGGGCAAGAATAACCCTTAAGTGATACTGTGTAGTTCATATTGCTTCCCATCAGGTCATATACTGTCAAGTCCCATTATTTGTGATGCTGAGTTTGATCACTTGGTTATGGGGGTTAAGGTAAGGTTTATTTTCCCCACTGCAGTTATCAATCTGTGGCATGATAAGTTAGCACTGTAGTGCTAGCTGTTCCCCAATAATCTGTCACTGGATAGTTGTAGCATCTATTGCTGACTCTTGTTAGGCTAAACTTTTGAATTTCAGTGTTACTCTTTTGTTGGCATATATATAGAAACAAAAATCACAGGAATTATAAAATATTCTATACAACTATATTAATCAGATTCTGATTTTGTGGGTTTTAAAAATTTTTAATCATTAATTAAAATTTATAAATTAACATTTTTAGTTGTGAATTCAAGCTATCTCCTGTTATGAATTTAAAAAAACCAAAACTGGCTTCTGAAAAATGGGAAAAACTCAACGCCTCTCTTTTCCTGGACTCTCACTGAAGGAGTGTGTTTAAGTTTTTCTTAGCCAATATTTGTTGACAGACAAAAATAACTAGAAATATAGTAAAGGAAGAATGGATTTACTAAAAACATTTTGAGAAAACTCTCAATTTTCTGGTATAATGCAAGGAGCATTGGATTGAGGGTCAGAATATCTGAATTCTAATTGTAATTCCACCACTATGAAGTTTAAGAATTAAAATTTTTTTGACTTCACTTAGTGTTCTCATTCTGTAATGACCAAGTTAGTAAACATTTATGAATTGATTTTTATTGAAATATAATTGATACACAGTATCCTATTAGTTTTAGGTGTATATCATAGTTATTTAATATTTTTTACATTACAGAATGATCTCCGCAATAACTATAGATACCATCTGTCACTTTACAAAGTTATTATAATTTTATTCGTTATATTCTCTATGCTGTATATTACATTCCTGTGAGTTATTTATTTTATGAATACTGTGATTTCTGATAATGAGGTATGTTGGCTACATTTAGAGGTGAACCTCATTTTAATTAAGCCAGGTAGAAATAAATCAAATATATGTAATATAAAATTGAATTTATTTCCCAACTAATTAACTGACATTTAATAGGTTTTTTTTTTTTTTAAGATTTTATTTATTTATTTGACAGATGGAGATCACAAATAGGCAGAGAGGCAGGCAGAGAGAGAGGAGGAGGAGGAAGCAGGCTCCCTGCTGAGCAGAGAGCCCGATGCGATGCGGGGCTCAATCCCAGGACTCTGGGATCATGACCTGAGCTGAAGGCAGAGGCTTTAACCCACTGAGCCACCCAGGTGCCCCAGGTTATTGGTTTTTAAAAAAAATCTTTTACGTTACTGTTTTAGAGAAGTTTTGTAATGGGATTTACTTAAGTTACAGATTCTCTTATTAAAAATATGATTTAGGGGCACCTGTGTGGCTCATTTGGTTAGATGTCCCAACTCTTGATTTCCTCTCTGGTTGTCTGCTTGGGAGTCTTCTCTCTCCCCCTCTGCCTCTTCCTTTCCCCTCCCCCACAGTTGATGGGTGCTTGCAGGCAAGAGTGCTTTCATCTCTCTCTCTAAAATAAATAATCTCTTTAAAAATATGATTTAATTCATTAAACAGTTTACATGAAGTTTTTTCACACCTTTTTGTAAGTCAGGATGAACTGTATATATAGAAATGAAGAATCTTTCCCCTTATTCTCAAGTGTTGTGTGAGGTATAGCTTTCTATCTGTACACATACTTAGTTTATAAGAAACGCGTCTGTATAGTTTTTTGTTTTTTGCCTTGTAGATCCCTGGGATTTATTGGGAATATTGGTTGACTGTATTTTTTATGATGTTAATCACGGATTGGCTTTGTATTTTGTATTGTCAGTTTATTGTTACTTAACTCTTAGATTGTTGTTTAATTTTTTGGTTACGCTTTGTCTTCCCAACTGCCAGGATAGGGTAGAATTTTTGGAATCTTTTCTCTGACTTGCACACTGCCTTTCTTCTAAGTGCTGAAGAGTGTTTTGTTTGAGATTCATAGTACCATTAATTTTATAAGCATTATGTGGTTTATAAATTTTGGGAGGTTTTTTTAAAGGTAATTTTCCCCACTTGTACAGTTAGTGATTTGTGTGGACTTTAATTAATAATTACTAATTAAAAAATAGGTTAAGATATGATTTTATCAGTATTCTTTGGTAATTCCCAAATTAGGTCCCCTCATCACCACTACCATTGAATGCTCCTCAAGCACACTGCACCTGCCTCTACCATGGTACTCACCACATAGTTCTATAATTATTTCCTTGTCCTCTATTAGGAAGTTAGCTCTTTCAAGGACAGAGG